ACGCTTCTCCGGCGGGGCTGAGTGGATTGTTGGTGCGCCGCTGTGACGGATGAGGTTGGTGATCCCAAGCTCTCGGATGACCACAGCCTCGTTGTTGAGGATCCAATCATCGCCGCCATATGTTGTTATGTCGTCACCGCGGGTGGGCAGCCCTGCGACCCGAGCGAAGGTAGCCAGATCAATCTCTATGTCGTAGAGATTGATGCTACTGTGAATGGTGTCCCCGTCCCGGCGGAGATTGGAGTAGAAGGCTCGCACAAAGGCGGGATTGATGCTCGAGCGGCTTCTGGAGACGAACGACCACAGACCCGATGCTTGAAGCTGGTTCTCGAGGTCGTGGTACCCCTTTTGTTGAGGGTACAACTCGGGCAGCACCCTAGGCGGAGAAATGGGACGCTTGGCAAAGTGCGTGAGGAACCGGTTGAGTTCCTCCTCCGACCCGAACTCCAAGAAGGATCCGTCCAGGTATGGAAAGGGTTGAGGCGCAGAGCTCGTAGCCTCAGCGGCGGCCTTCTTCTTCGAAGCTTTTGTCTTCTTTCCTCCGGCCATGATTTGAAGCAAGAATTTGAAGAATTGTGAAGAATAAAAGATGAACTATGAAATATGGAGGAGAATTGTGAGGATGAATGACCAAATATGGTGAATATATATAGGGAAGGAGTGGAAAAACCGAGAAGAATTCAAAAAATATGACTGTTGGGCATTTAATCTATTGCCCAACGGTTTTTTTTTTTTTTTGAATTTTGGCAGGCTCCCATCGATGGTATGAACTAACCATCGATGGGATGATCACCACTGGAAAGCACGGAAGAGATTAAGGCTGCCTTCCCATCGATGGTCAAACTCACCCATCGATGGGAGGGTGGCTGCTGGAAATCCGTTAGAACGTAAAAAAAACAAGTGTCAAACACCCATCGATGGGAGAAAGTTACCATCGCTGGGATGGGAGGTTCAGAAATTTTTTTTTTTGATAAAAGTCCTTCACCCAGCGATGGGACAAAGTACCCATCGATGGGTTAGGGTGTTCTAGAAATCCGTTAAGTATTTTTAAAAAATTAGAGTCAATTACCCATCGATGGGAAGAAGCACCCATCGATGGGAAGAGGGGTTCTGGAAAAAAAGAAACTTCCCTCCCAGCGATGGTATGTCCTACCCATCGCTGGTTCCCCCTGATTTCCAGAGTTCTTCACTTCGAACCGTCCCTGCAAAAAAGAGTTAGAAAACCCTCCGACGCTCAAGTTAGTAAACGTTCCAGTAACAATAAAAGAATGATAAAATGCACAAATTAGATCATCGTGGAGTCAAGGATTCCGAGTTCGCTACGAATGCGGAAGAACGACTCTTTCTCTAAAGGTTTTGTGAAAATGTCGGCTAATTGGTTGTGTGTTTCAACAAACTCAATTTCGACATCACCTTTGAGAACATGATCTCTAATGAAATGGTGCCTAATGTCAATGTGTTTCGTCCTTGAATGAAGAACGGGGTTCTTCGTCAAGCTAATGGCGCTAGTATTGTCACAACGAAGAGGAACGTGACTGATACTAAGGCCATAGTCCACGAGTTGTTGCTTCATCCAAAGGATTTGAGCACAACAACTACCGGCGGCAACGTATTCCGCTTCGGTTGTGGATAACGCAACACTG